AGCTTTAGTGGGGAAAATATATCCAGACAATACACTAATCAATTGATAATTAGTAAAATATGGAATAAGTGCAATTAAAAACTTGAAAGGAGGGATGAAAGGACATAAGGGGGAGGACAGAAAGGGGATTACAGATTGGTGGGGGGTCATCATAGGGAAAGTGCTATTAGCTGTATGTATGGGGAGAAGGAGAGCATGCTGAGGGGGTAGGAGCTCTGCAGGCAGAAGGGCGGACCTCTGGGAAGTTGGGAAGTGCTTAAAATACTCCAGAAGCAGAAGAGAGATCAGTATGCCTTTCAGAGTGCAATGGTGGCCAGGATTGTGTGACAAGAGGCTGGAGGAGAAACCAGCAGGGAGATACCATAAGATGATTGGATTCACTAACAACACTAATGAGAACCTCATAGGTGCTAGACAGTTTCATACGCCTGGTCTCATTTAATTCCCATAATGAACCTGAGAAGTGGGTACTACTCTCCCCATTTCACAAATGAGAAAACTAAAGGTCTACACATGCTATTAGGTGACCTGACCCAGTAGGTAAATAGCAAAATTGCCAACCCCTGCTTTTCCAATGACACTAGACATCAGTTTGCCTCATTCACGAGGTATGAATGGATGAAAGGATTTAGAAAAACAGAATAGATTATGGTTGAGACTGAAAAAAAGGGAAAGAGAAAAATATCACAAAACTACCTAGGAAGGCAAATATGAAATACAAAAGGTAAAGCAAGAGGAAACATTTTTCTGGGGAGATTGGGAAGAAGACAGAATGAAGAGGAATTTCACATCAATGTAGTCAGAAATGGAGGTATAGTGGGCCCTAAAGAAGAATAAATTTAATAAACAATAAAATGTAACTCATTATATCAATAATGAATTGTAACTCAACAAAGTAAGGAAGGGAAAAGGGGAGAAAGGGGCAGAGAGGGAGAAGGGTAGGGGCTATTGGCCACAGGACTGGGCCTTCAAGAGTGAGGACTGTTACAGCATATTGGAGAGGGGTGCAGAGGGGCTGGTGCAAGGCAGACAGAACAGGAATTCAGGAGTCAGATTTTCTTGTGTTCCATCTCTTGGTCACCACATGGTCAAAGTCAAGTATGTTAGCTTCCGTGAGCCTCTGATTTCACATCTACCAAATGGGACAATAAGTCCTACCCTAGTTACTACTGGCATTATGTATCAGAGTAATAGTTAGGATTTACTGAATACTGTTGTGGCTTGGATATTAATTGTCCCTTAATGGCTCACACATTGAAGGCTTGATTATTAATGCAGCACTGTTCTGAGGTGGTACTCTTGGGAAGTGACAGGATCATGAAGGATTTGACTTCATGAATGGTTTAATCCATTGATGGATTCATAGGTTAAATGGACTTCGGGAAGGGCTTTGTTACACAAATGGGTCTTTCTTTGATTCTTGACCAACATGAAGTAAACAGCTTGGCTCTACCACAAGCTCCCTGCCATTGATGTTCTGCCTTCCCAAAGGCATAAAAGCAATGAAGACCAGCAACCATTAACTGAAAACATGAGCCAGAATGACTCCTCCTTCAGTTTGATTTTTCTCAGGTAGTTTGTCACAGCAACAGAAAACTAACACATCCATCTCCTATCTTTTAAGTGCTTTGCTTAAAAGGGGTTGTAAGGGATTTCTGAAACCTCACAACTACCATAAGGCAGGAATTGTTATCATTCATTGATATATTACATAAAGTTCTGAAATCACAGAGCATGTGTTCAGAAATATGAGTTCTTTTCCTGTGGTCATTCCAGAGTTGGCACCACCTACTACATAAAAGAGGCACTCCTTGTCTGTCTTTCCATACTGTCTTCATTTACTCCCTCTCTTCCTCACTATACATTCTCCATTTCCCATCATCAAATTTACCCTCTCAGCCCTCCATCTGTTTTCACATTCTGTGTTCTCGGGCAGGTGTCTTAGTTGCAAGCAACAGAAACCAATGCTGAATAATTTAAGCAGGAACAGAATTCAGTAAAGTGAGCTTAGATTACATAGAATCACCAGAAGGATACTGGATCTTGGTTTAAAGTACCAGAAATGAAGAGCACCACTCAAAATCACAGCACATAACTGGACTGGTGAAGATATTGTTGCAATCACTACCAGGTATTAACAGGGCAACTCACATGGTTGGCACCAATGACACAGGACTCTGAGCATGCAGAACCAATTCCAGCAGCAAAGAAACTTGCATGTCACTACCTCCGATGTTGCAACTTTGGCCCCAGATTGATTCTATCTGGTTCCAGTTTCCTTCTTGACATCTGAGATAAATAAATCTGGTGAAGCCTGTATCATGTGCCCAACCCCTAACAGTAATGGAGACTGATAAGCTATCTAGAAATTTTATCTTCTTCATGAGAAGTGGGCTCTACTCCAGAGAATGGACACCCCCTGCAATGTAAGAAAATTATTTGTTCAGATGGTAAACAATTGGAGAAAGTGCCAAATGCCAGCTTTAGCCTGAATTCCCACTCCCATGCTCTTATTTCTTTATGGCTCAGCTCTAATGCCACCACCTCTGAGAAGCTTTCTTTGATTTCTCTGAGCAGAACTCACAACATACCTCATAGAAGAAACACATGTCCACCTGCCTGCCTGATACCTGAAATAAATTTTTTATGTGACTCATGTCTGCACTCCTTTCTCATCATTATCAGATCAGTAATGGCAGTAGCTGTGTTTGCCCATCTCTGCACCCCCATATAGAGCCTGGTAGGATGTTTGCTAGTGAATGAATGAATGAAAGTTTTGGTCTCATTGGACAGGCCTTTGTACCAGAGGTCCATGAAGGACTTGCACAGACTCTGCCTTACATAACGGAGCCCTTTTTTTCCTGGTGTGCACTTCTATAAATGGACTATGTCAGCATATTTGAAGAAAGGGCCATAGAGAATCAGAAAGCCCCATTGCAGAGGATAGTGGCGGATTGTAAGGGTACAAAGGAGAGACTGAGGGAGGCAGGGTGACATATTTTGGAGGAGTAAATGAACTGGAGCAGGCATCAGAGAGGCAGGAGACAGTTTAGAATCAGAGGACTTGAAAGGCCAGATTCCCTCTCCTTCTCCATCCTTTGGGTTCACAGATTAGTAAACTGAGACAGGAGAATCATATACCTTACAAAGCTCAGAGAGATAACAGACCCAACTCTGCTCATGCAGATTAGCCATTTACAGCATCTTTGATGGATGGGTTTTTCCAAGGTCACTGAGGACAGTGGGATTTAATGGAAATAGACAAGGCTTTGAAGTCTGTAATTCAAATCTGAGCTCTTGAGCTCCTTAGTTGTGTGACCTTGGAAAGTCCTTTCACTTCCCTGACCTTCTGATCTCAGTTTCCTTGCATGGGCAATGGAAATCATAATACCCATCTCATTGGATTATGGCTATGTATGAACGCTAACATATACACATGTCTAGCACTTTAAGGATGCTTACTAAACATTATTATGAAGTCTAAAGTCACAAAACAGATACCCCCTTATTTTCAATACTCTGCCTTTATCCAAAGTTATACAAAGGCAAAAATAATGTGATAGGAGAGGCAAAGAGCAATTCATATGAAGGGTTACAGATAGTAAAAGGGAGAGGAAAGGGAACAGCTAGGAGAACGTTTAATGCACAGAGACTGCACAAAAGTTGCAGATGGGCAAGCCAGACCCATGTGGGAAATGGCTCAGAAATTACAGGGAGGAAACATTTATAAGATTAAAGTCAAGATGAGGAAGAAGAAAAGGAGTGGAAAGATGAAAGAGAGAACAGAGAGTGGCAAGATGAAGAAAAGTAGGGGAGAGAAGATGGGGCATACATAAGCTCTGGATCCTTGCTGAGATGACCCCTCCTGGAGGGCTTGAACAGAGACAGAATCAGCCCAAGGCCAAAGAGTGCTCTATTTGAGGTCCTAAATTTACAGCCCAACTTGAATCTCAGACTAGAAATGAAGAATTGGTGAGCAGCCCCTTCCCCTGCGAAGTGGGCAGAGGATCTCCAAACCAGGGTGAGCCAAGAGTCAACTATATAATGGATCTCTACCCAGTGCCCTTTTCAGGAATTTCACACACAGAGCAAAAGCAGCCAACTAGAGCTGCTCCAAACTGGGAATAAGGATCCAAAATAAAAGTGCATATGTGGGCTGCTTAGCAGGGTAGCAGCTAGGGGGCCAGAGCAGTCCTGCTGGAGTTGGCGAGGGCAGTGTGGTGTAAAGAGAGTGGAGTTCCAAGTCTCTCTCTGTCTACTAGCCATTAGTGAAACCACCAGGGAGGCCTCCTTGAGGGGTGAGCTGTGGTCTTGGCAATGGAAGGATGAATGCGTGAGTTGCAGGCAAGTGGGTGGGAAGGGGGTTCTAAGACCACAGGAAGTTATTTTAGGGACTACAAAAAGGTAGGAGACTAAAGACCGGACTTGTCCTTGGGCCTAAGGGGAGTCAAAGTTATGTCTTAGCCTTTCAGGGGCTCGCTGTACCCCCGGGGAGGCGGGGCCTTGAGCAGGGCTGGGCTGAGGCGCGCCCCCAGGTGCAGTCTCTGGCTTGAGCGAGGGGTGGGGTGAAGCTAGGAAAGCTGGGTTGAGCTAAGGAGGTTAGAGGGGACGCGAGTGGGTCCTTAAGTGGTAGAATTTTGGAGAGGAGTGTTGGGGCTAAAGAACGTTGTGAGGACGGCATTGGGGGATCCTGGGAAAGGGGAGGGAGCGTCTGGGACTTGCACGAGGCCGGGCGGAGCCTCCGAAACGCTCGGGGTCTGCCGGGGGAGCCAGGGAAGACGGGCGGGCGGCGGGGCCCGGGGAGGCGGCGCGGGGGGGCGGTCCAGGGCCGATCGGGAGGCGGAGCCCGGAGCTGGGGGCTGCTGGCTAGCGGCTCTGTCGGCTCCTCAGCTTGGGCGTCCTGGTTCGCTTTGGCGTCCGCGGTCTCCGTCTCCGCCGCTGCCTCCTCTTCTTCCTCCTTCGCCACCGCCACCGCCCGCAGCACCGCAGCCCCTCCCGCCATGGCCGCCGCCGGCGCCCGGCGTAGCCCCGGCCCCGGCTTGGCGCTCCGGGGGCGGCCGAGGCTAGGCTTCCACCCGGGGCCGCCGCCACTGCCGCCGCCACTGCTGCTGCTGTTTCTGCTCCTGCTGCCGCCGCCGCTGCTGGCCGGCGCCACCGCCGCCGCCTCGCGGGAGCCCGACAGCCCATGCCGGCTCAAGACAGTCACGGTGTCCACGCTGCCCGCCCTGCGGGAGAGCGACATCGGCTGGAGCGGCGCCCGCTCTGGGGCCGCGGCCGGGGCCGGGGCTGGGACCGGGGCCGGAGCCGCCGCCGCCGCCGCCGCCGCCGCCGCGGCTGCCGCGTCCCCGGGCTCCGCGGGCTCTGCCGGCACAGCCGCCGAGTCGCGCCTCCTGCTCTTTGTGCGTAACGAGCTGCCGGGGCGCATCGCAGTGCAAGATGACCTGGACAACACCGAGCTGCCCTTCTTCACCCTGGGTAAGACTAGACGCCGGCACACGCGGGATCCCAAGGAACCCTGAACCCCTAAGTGAGGCCAGACAAGTGGGGGCGCCCTGGGGATCCCCACCCAGGCTGCCCCGAGTGGGGTTGGCAAAGGGCAACCTGAGGGCCCCGGAGGGCGCACAGGTGGTTGGAAAGGAGTGTGGTGCAGGAGGTCCTGGAGAGAGCGCGACGGGAGCCCGGGGGCATGCCAGTGGTCCCGCAGTGGGGACCTGTCCCTTTGCCTCTCAGTCCATATATTGAACTGTGCCCCATCCATCCCGGACGCCAGAGACTCAAATCGATGAGTGTACACTGACTAGAGTCTCGGTCAGCCCCCTCTCTGAAAACAGTTCGCGATCAACCCTCCCACTGCTCCTCCAGCCACGGTCACTGGCCGCCCACGGCTACCACCAGCTCGCTCTCGCCTTGGAGTTATGGGTTCAGCCCTTCCAGAGAGATATTCTCGAGAATCACAGCGGAGTAGCTCCATTTATAATGACCAAGCCCGCAAAAGCTCATCTTCAGTATGGGCTGGATGACCTTGGCTAAGTCGCTTCTCCTCTCTGAGCCTTAGTTTTGACCTTCCGTGAAATGGGGCTGGAATCGATTGAGTGATTTCCGAGGACTGGGATTCTGATTCCAAGGTCTCCACTTTTAGATTGGCTCTCTACCCTCGTATTCGCTTTGGTTTTCTACTCTCCTGGCAGAGAATAAGGTTTGTCCTCCCAGCTCAATCCCCCGGCTAATAATAATAACTTAACAGCAAGAAAAGGGAGGGGAAAGGAAAGGGTGGGTGTAGGGGGGCTCAAACGGAAAAGTTAATCAGAAAGTTCGCCAGCAGCTTTGCTGCCTGCTGATTCCCGGCGCGAATCCCGGAGGAGTCGGCCCTTCCGTGGAGCTGTGGGAAGCGCGTCTGATTTCCCACCCGGGTAATTGATAGCTTAATTATCTCGGAGAGCGTTTACAAAAATGTTGTTCCCCCTTAGCTCTCCCGCGCTTGCTGCTCGCTGGCTCTCCCCTCCCCTCTTGGGGGCGCGGGGCCCGATTGGTTGTCTGAGCTGGCCAACAACAGAGCCTTACAGGCGCCCGGGGCTAGCCAGGCTCCCGACCTCTCTTTCCGGGGTCCTTGGGCTCTGGCATCGCGGGGGTGACCGGCCTTGGTGGTCAGCGCCCTTAGGTTCCCTATGCCTGAGCCTCCGGGGTTAACTCCTTGCTCGCCGGAGAAGCCCTACAGAGTAATCTATGTACTAGACTTAACTCTCCTGGGAACCCTGATATTTAAAGATATATTTTGTGACACCCCAATTCTCTCCCCCTTTATGCAGGCTGCCTATGGGGATTTGAGCGAGTGCCAGGCTCTCTCCTGGTCTGGGCTTGATCATCCGGGTTGGGGCCGCCCTAGGCTCTCCTGCCTGGCTGTAACCTGAGAGTGCAGAGCTTTCTGGGAGGCAAAGCAGGAAAGCATCTTACAGGTTCCCTGGGGACTTCCCACGGAGGCGCGTCTGACTTGCAAGGCATACAACACACACACACACACACACACACACACAGACATGCGCGCACGCAGACACACACACACACACACACACACACACCAGTACCCCTTCCCACATGCACCTGTGGGGCTGTCCATGTCCATGGAAGTGGATGAGAGTGGGGGTGAATTCTTTAGGCACTGAGATTAAAAAAAAAAATCGTCTCACAGCTCCTGTTTCCTGGACTGGCCGAGGGTGTGGGGAGGGTGGCGTGAGGGGTGGTGGTGGGGAAGTCCTGCCAGTGACATAAAAGATAACCCTTTGTGACACTTCCAATCCTCCAAATCTTTCTACTCCGAGATATGGTGAGAACTCAGCTCCTAAATGGCCATTCAAAGGAGGGGGAAGGGAATCTGCCCTTGAGTGCCCTGACTTGGCAGTGAGAACCCCAGAGCATTCCAGTTCCTCAAAGATGTGGAGGACCAAGTCCAGCCAGTACAGAGGCCCCAGAATTCCTGGAACTAGCAATCCTTTCCATTTTGAACTTTTGCTTTCAAGGGGATGAATGCTTGGGACTCTGAGGCAAACCGAGTGAGGAACTGGAAGTCTTGAATCCACTAGGATCCATGTGTCAGCTTGAGAGTCCCCCTGAGTCCTCCACTTGCAGCCTTCGCTCTCTCTGACGCACAACTGCTGAGCCTTGTGGCTGGGGACTGCCTGCCCTACGGAGTGGCCAGGTGCTCTCATCCTTGGCAGCACTGAGCCCTTTGGATACACGCTGGGTTTGGGTTCCTACCTCCTCCTCCCCCAAGCGCCCTGGATGGCAGCTCAAGTTCTCCGACAGGGATTTGGCTAGCGAGGTAGTCACCAGATGGCAGGGTATAGCAGGAGCTGTGTAGGGAGACGTGGGCTTTTTATTTGTGTTGGTCTTCGACTGTTTGCATGTAAACACGGAGTGCACAATGAGCTCTTGGAAGGCCAGACTGGCTGGCAGTGAGGGTTGTGGTGGTGGTAACGGGGAATGACATATGAGTTATTCATGGTCATCTCTTTTTGAGGTCCCAAGGCAACCCCATCCCATCTTCAGACCTTTTAAACTTCCTGCCCAGTGGTTGTCTCTGGTGAGTTAGTCAAGACTTTCTCTACTAGTTTGTCTGTTCAGGGAATTTGGAGATGACCAGGTACCACAGCTAGGTGTATAAAGTTGGGGGCAAACCCTGCCAGTAGTGGGGAGTGTTGAGTCACCACTAGGGGGTGATGGTGTCTGCCAAAGGCTTCCTGACATGCTTTGGGTCCTGGGTCCAGAGTTACTATTGGTAAAACATTTCTGTTGTTAAAGTGGTGGTGGTGGGGGGGGGGGGGGGGGCAAACAAACAAACAAAAGGTAGATTTTCCATTTTAACCTAAATTCAGTTTTGTGAGCCTCAAAGTAATTCTGCACACACTGCCTACCCTCCCCATTCTCCAAAGTCACCTTCCTACCTGGCCGTGCCTCACTGCGTTTTGCCTTTTTTATTTGAGTGATTGGCTCTGTTATTGGTAACCTCTCCATGGAAAAGGTCTTTTCTTCAATTCTGTTCCTTTTCATATTTCTACTCTCTCCATCAAGTTCCCACCTGCTTTGTGTAGATGGAAGTTTCCCTCAGATGTGAAAGATCCCCCAAGTTTCTGTGCTTGGTTCTCTTTTTTAGAATCTGATTATAAGTCAATGACATTGACAAAGTGAATTTCCCTGAAAGTGATTGAGAATAGCAAGTAGTTATTGGATCTTTAATTTATTGCTCAGAGTTTAACTCTTGCTGTGTATTATTAAGTCACACAAAATGCATAGAGTGGTCACTACTGTTATTCCCAGTTGACAGATGAGGAAGCTTTCTTAGAGGTCAAGTACCTTGTCCAAAGTCACACTGAGAGTACATGGTACATCTAGAACTGGAATCCCAGTCTGTTTGAGACTTACCTCCTTGGTAAATGCCACCTGGTATTCTGATCCTACACACTATGAGGGTATGGCACCAGGCAGATAAGCAGGATAGTCATTAACAAGACAAGGACCTTTCTGCACATGAATTTCAGTCACATTGGTGGGCAGAAGTAGAGCGTTTGAAAGTGAGACATGAGTTAAATGACCTCCAGTGACCCTGGCAGCTTAAAGTTCCATGACTCATAAGATGTCAAAGGGCATTCTTCTCAATGGTGCCCATGAGTGATAAAGAACATACATTCTGTGAACATCAGGGAAGAAAGACATCTCCATAAACTTGCAGAAGATTGGGGACATTTTCTGGACCAGAAAAAACCTGGGTAGGTGTTGAAGGATTTAATAGAATATTTCAGATGCTGAATGCTAAATGTGGCTTGGGAGCGTAAGGTTGGTTAGGATCTGGAAATCTCCACCCTGGCTCACTGTGACCTTGAACAAGTCATTTATCCCCCAGAGCTTTAATTCTTTGTGCTATAAAATGAGTGGGTAGATGAGCCCTAAAATAATCCTTTGGTGTAAAGATCCTGTGAACTTGAAGTGCCCTGACCTACACTGTGACTCTGACTAGCTCCTCTTGCTTCTTACTGTGTGTTTCCCTGTGCATGGGGGTGTTGGGAGGATAGATTGAAAGGAAAGGCTTTGAATAGGAGCAACTGCCAGCGCAGGGCTTCTGAGGTGAACCTGCACGCCTCTCAGTCCTCATTTACCCCCAGGCAGCCCCAGAGTCTGCTTGTGGATTTAGCTTTCATGCCCACAGGTAGGGAAATGTCATCCTTTTTCCTATGCTTGATAGTGGCCAGGCCAGGCAGTTTACCACCTGCCTTGATTCAGCAAAACGGGGGAAAAAGCACTAACATCGAACAACTACTCATTGTCAACATTTCTTAGTGATTTGCTTTGCCATGTAAACCTTACAGGAGAAGAGTGTGCTCTGTACTGGGGGAAGGGAAGTCTGCAGAAGGAAAAGCCACCTAGGAGTATATCTTTAAATGCACCCACCTGGGCAGGTCCTCCAGTATCCTGGCGGTCTGTTCGAAAAGGATGCTCTTCTCAAGGAGCTGATTGGCCTGGGTGGAAGACAAAGATGTAGTCTGGAACTCCGAGCTGGAGAGTCCAGCAGAGGTTCCTTAAAATACAGATTAAAATGGATACTCAGAGAAAAACCTCCAGGGGGAGCGAGGGGCCGGCACTTTCCCAGAAGCGATACAGGGAAAAGGGAGTTTGGCTAAAGAAAAGCAATCCACAAAGGGCTGGAGAAACTTGCTGCAGATGTCCACACACAAGGAACAATCCGTGTTTTGTGGGGGATCTGAATTTAAAAAAATGTTCCAAAGGTGCAGAGTGGAGCCGAGTACTACAAGAGGGTGTGTCCCATGGAGCTGTCCAGCAACCCCGCGTGCTGACCTGCATTGTGGTAAGATCCAAATAGAGTGTTCAAGAGAGACTAGCAGCTCTTTGGCAGGCACTTGAAGGAGGGACCCAAGCCTTGGGAGAATTTGGACTGTTTGCCCTTTTTGGTTTCTGGTTTGATTCTG